GACCAGTCCTTGGAGAGGGACATCACGTTTGGGAGAGTGGAGGGACGGCACAGGAGAGGAAGACCCTCAATGACATGGATCGATTCTGTGACTGGAGTGGTGGGAATGAGTGTGTTTGAGACGGTGAGGTTGGCACAGGATAGAGCAGGGTTTAGGGCTCTTGTACATAGGATCGCTATGAGTCACAAACAACTCGATGGCACATAACAACAACAACAACAACAACAACAACAACAACATGTCTTATAGATCTGAACTATAAACAACAGATCTGAACTGTCCTATCCTAGTCCATACTCACAATCTCTGGGACACTGAAGTTCATTGCTAAAGTCACTGTGTCAATCCATCTGTTTGAAGGTCTTTGTCTCTTTCACTCTCCCTCCACCTTTCCAAGCATGATGTTCCTCTCTAAGAAAGATCTTTTCCTCGAAAAATGCTCAAAATTTGATGAAGCTTTAGGGTCTTTGTCTCTAAACAGCACTCTGGCTGCAGCTTCTCCAAGACATATCTATTCTTTTTGCAGTCCATGGGATATTCAGCACTCTTCTCCAACACCACAACTCAGATGCATCAATTCTTCTGTCATCCTTACTCACAGAGAAAGATTCTAAAGCCTTTAAATTGAGTCATCAGTGACTTGAATTAAGACATTTAATTCGTTTACATCACAGTAAAGTCTGGAGGGAGGTATTTCTAGGGTTAGTGCAACCTTTGAAAACCAATATCCAACATCATGATTTTTCTTCTTGTTATGCAATTGATTATACGTGTGTTCATGTTTTAAAGTCAGGGTCACCGGCTTATAGTAAGGAAGGTGACCGTCAGAGCCCAATGCCCTGAGTCTGAACATCACTCAAAGTAAGGAAAGGAGCAGCTTCAGGTCGCTCTCCTCTGTCAGAAAACACAATCTTTCCCAGCAGCCTTCATCACATCCTCTCCTCCACATAGGCTAGATCTATGTCAAATAGTGAGTGACTCACAGCTTCAACGCAGGCGGATTGGGTGACTACTGGGGGGAAAACAGCAGAAGACAAGATTGGATTAGCTGTTCACCTGACAATCAACAATATCTAACACACCCTTTGGAGCACTTATAAAAAAGAATAATGAAAGAATTAAATAAAAAAAATTTGCTCAGTGGCTCCTGTGTGAGATGATAACCTCTTTGACCTTGGGAAATATGTCTGCATTTTTCATTGCTTCTTCTTGTTGTTGTTAGATGCCATCAAATCAAGTACGACTTGTAATGACCTTATGAACAGCCAGCCTGCCCCTCCCCATCCTGTGCCAGCCTCATCATCTCTGATGCACTCGAGTTCATTAAGTCACCATGCCAATCCATCCCACTGGGGGTCTTCCCCTTTTCCACCGGCATTCCATCTTTTTTTTAATTGAGATTTTAATGAACATTTATAGAAAGCTTGGACTTCCTTTCATTCATTGTTGCACATTTTCCTCCGTGTCCACCCCTCCCCCTCAATTCACTTTTCTCTTAAAAAAAATTCTTTGATTGTTTTACAATCCCCCCACCATCCACTTTACTATGCACCTTTTATTCTGGCCCATTGTCATGCAAATAATGCCTAATCATACATTCTGCTTAAGCAGTTCTCTCCCTTGTCTGTTTCAATGCAGGCTGCATTATTTATCTCATCTTTTCTTAGTTTACCCCCAACCCTGATGTCAGTCTTTTTTATAACAGTGGCACCATGCAGTATTTGTCCTTTTGTGACTGAGATATTTCACTCAGCTTAATGTCCTCCAGGGTTACCCATTTTGTATATTTCATGAGTTCCTTGTTTTTCAATGCAGCGTAGTATTCCATTGTGTGAATATACCACAGCTTCTCTAGCCATTCATTTGCTGATGGGCACTTGGGTTGTTTCCAGCTCTTTGCTATTGTGAACATCACAACAATAAACATCTTTCTAAGTATGATGTCCCTTTCCAAGGAATCGCCTCACCTAACTGCTTGTCCAAAGTATGAAAAATGGAGCTTTGCCATCTTTGCCTCCAAAGAACACTCTGGCTGTACTTTCTCCAAGGCGTATTTATTTGGGGGTATTTGGCATGGGATATGTGAGCATGGAGGACATTATACTGAGTGAAATATATCCATCACAAAAGGACAAATACTGCATAGGGTCACTGTTATACAACAGGACTGACATCGGGGTTGGGGGAAAACTAAGAAAAGAGGGGATAAATAAATAATGTACCCTGCATTGAAATAGACAAGGGAGAGAACTGCTGAAGTGGAATATATGATTAGGTATTATTTGCATGACAACGGTCCAGAATAAAAGCTGCATAGTCCATGCGATGGTAAGCACTCCTCTCTAGCGCCACACCTCAACGGTATCATTTTCACTGCTATAAGCCCATGGAGAGCAGAATGCTTGTCCCCAAGATCAGCCAGCGTGGTTCTTACACTGATCGTCACATCTCCCGGCAGCTCTCCATCAGGTTACACTGAAAACACACATTCGATTTTAACACAATTTTTTTAAGCACTTAGTTCTTTGCTTTGTCTTATATATTTCCGGCATGTTTCTTGGAGGGGCCATTCCTTGGAGAGGGGCATGATGTTTGGAAAAGTAGAGGGTCAGCAAAGGAGAGAAAGACCCTTGATCAAATGGCTTGACACAGTGACTGCTGCAGTGTCAGGAAGGTGAATATGGCACAAGATGGGACAGGGTTCCGATCTGTTGCTCAGAGGGCAACTCTGGGTTGTACTCGACTCAAAGGCACCTAACAGCCACAACCACAAGTTCTTTGCACAGCAAACACAATGCTCCTAGCCTCCTAATTCTAGCCAGTGAGTAGCTGTGAGGACCATTGCTGTCATTCAGATGCTGGAATGAATTCTTTTATTAAAAAAAATAAAATTTTAACCCCTGTTACAGAATTATGTGATCCATAAAATTTAAAATTGCCTCAAGTACATAAATGTGAATCAATTCTTGGCTAAATCACTCAAACATCATTCAACAAGAATATATATATATAAGCTAGGAAGTCATTTTAAAGGGTAGTCATAAAATGTTTGGTCTAAATTTCCCACTCCTGAGAGCTTTGCAGCAACAGATAAGTATGTCATTCAGCCGGGCTGATTACAGAGAAAGCAAAACTCCTGCATCAAGGATGTTCAGCACATTTCTGTTCTAACTGCACCAAAGGAATATTGGGATTTACTCCCAGCTTTGCCATGTAGCAAGAGGCAAAATGACTGTGTTCTTTGGCTCACAAATGATTCCATGATCTTAAACCATCTTTCAGTTATAACATGCAGTCAGTGCACAGTTGAGAAATTCCAGGCACACACTGCAGCAGCACACATGCTCTGAGAGCAGCACCGTACGGGAGACAAAAGATTCGGATCAGGCACAACCCAAAGGCAAGTTGTCCTGGTTCAGTTGTGTCAATATGCATTGTAATGAATTAAATTTTAGACACCATCAAAAGCAAGATTTAGTAATATCATATACTTGTAAGAAATAAACAGAGGGAGTCCTGCTCATTCTACTAACCAAAAGGTTGACAGTTCTAACCCACGAGTGGCTCTGATGGAGAAAGAGTGACGATCTCTCCCCATTAAGATGAATAAATCATACAAAACCAGCATCACAAAACCAACAGGAAAGGGGGATCGCTATGGTTCAGATTCAATTTGACAGTACTGGGATTTTGGGGAAGGAAATAAATCCAGTGGCATTGAACTCTTGCAAAAGTCAACCTCATGGACATTAAGGAACAGTCAGATTACTGAGTTTATCTGTAGCTCTAGGTGCAGAACTTAATCCTAATCTCTGCTGGATATTCTGTTTGGCTGAGTGAAAACACATTGATATATAGCTATTATGTAAACCAAAAGACAGTGAAGCGTAAGTATTCTTCCACTAAAAGTCAACCATCCAATTCCCAAAATCAAAAGCCTGCAATAACCTTGATGGTTTCCTATTATGATGAATATAATTAACATCACTGAATTATACACATAAAGTGACTTAGATGTTTTATTCTGTGCATTCTACAACAATAAAATGCTTCATTTCCAAAGATCCCGACTAATCCAGCCAATGAGCTAAATAAAACATTCTCAAAATCCAAGAGAAATAAAAATTTACAAAAGCGTGTCTCAATTTTAAGTTTTAAATATGGTTTCCACTTGAAATAAAATTCCTTAAAAAATAAAAAATTGACTTTAGCTTTGGCAAAGGGAGTCCCCTAAGAAAAAAATGTAAACAGATGGCTAAGGCAGATCGCCCACATGCTGCACACAGATCTTGAGGAGGTATTTCTAAGAAAGAAGTGGCACTTCCCAGCCTGGGGCTCTTCCCACGAGGATCCTTATTTAACCAACGGAAAACACAGGTTTTTATCTCTGGCCTGCCTCAGCAACTTTCCCCCACTTGACCTACAGTGACCAAGACTAGCTTCCAACTCTTTCTACAGTTCTCGGAGCAGCTGAGGACCTATTCACCCGAGAGGCCAACCTGTCATAAATGAGCTTTTGATGCTCAGTCCTGAACCAACCTCTTCCCTTACACATGGGCCATGAAGACCTAGATAAGCACATTGAACATGCAATTTAATGAACGACACACATCTGTTCCACTTTCTCAGTGAACAGAAGTTTCAGGACAACTTACATCCTAAACTTAATCAAAGAGAAAAACACTCTTGGCAACATGTGAAGCTGAGTTTTAAAAGAGAATCCAAATGAGGGCGAGAAAGACCGTTTTCCTGTAATTAACGAGATTACATAATACCTCAATCACATCGACAAAATCGCTGGAGCTAGAAAACATGGTCTTTTTTTAGGCCTGTTGATCTTTTGTTTCAGTGCTATCTACAGTTCCAAAGATCTCCATCTCAGTTCTAAAGACCTCCACCTTTTTCTGGCCCAAGTTACGGCTGCAGGAGTGAACCGGAACACTGTATACAGCAATTCAAAGCCGCTGCTGCCGAAAGGCCACAGAGGAAAAAAATCTTACCGAATTGTCCTTCACAAGGAGAGCACAACACTGGATTCCAGCCATCAGCATCTTGTGTGGGTTCCAGGCCACAGAGTCAGCCCTGTTATGTCCAACAAAGAAAAACACAGGGGAGAAAGGAAAGGCAATTAGTTTCTATTGGCCAAATGAGTACTATCATTAGCAACATCCATATTTAGTTCTCCAGCCCACATTTCTCTTTTATAAAATTCCTTTGGAGGCAGTGGTGAGTTTTGGAGTTCTGGGATGATTTTTTTCCCCCTTGAAACTGAGGCACTTGCTGCAGAAGGTCAAGGACTGCAGCCTTCAATACAGATTGAAGCTCAACATCAAGAAAACAAAGATTCTCACCATTGGGCCAATTAGCAGTATCAGTATGGATGGTGAAGAGATTGAGATAGTTAACAGTTTTAGTTTACTTGGCTCCACAGTCAACACTCTTGGTAACAGCATCCAGGAAATCAAGAGACAAATTGCACTGGCAAAGCCAGCTGTGAGGGACCTCTCAAGAGTACTGAAGTGCAATGACGTCAGGCTGGAGACTAAGGTGTGCCTGATCCAGGCTATAGTCTTTGCAATTATGTGCTATGTTTCAGAGAGTTGGACAATGACTAGGGTTGATAGAAAGAGAATTGATGCCTTTGAGCTGTGGTGCTGGAGAAGCGTGTTGAATATACCATGGACTGCTAGGAGAACAAACAGGTTTGTCCTGGAGAGGGTGAAGACAGAATGTTCCCTGGAGTCAAGGATTCTGAAGCCTCGTCTGATTTACTTTGGGCATGTTGCAAGGAGGGACTGGTCCTTGGAGGGGGACATCATGTTTGGGAAAGTGGAGAGGTGGCGCAGGAGAGGAAGGCCCTTGATGAGATGGATCGATTCTGTGATTGGGGTGGTGGGAATAAGCGTGTCAGAGACAGTGAGGTTGGCACAGGATAGAACAGCATTAAGGGCTCTTGTACATAGGGTCGCTATGAGTCCCAAGTGACTCAACGGCACATAACAACAACAAGAAAAACAATTGGTTTTGTTCTTGTCTGTTTTCCCAAATGAAATGTGAATGGGCAAAGTCCAAAGAGATCCCCTCACGGCACTAACAGCAGCTGCAAACTGGAAGCTCCATTTACCTGTGGATACCATGCAGCAGCCGGCGGTGCTTCCTGGACATCAAAGCCGAGCCACCCCAGGAAGCCTGTGGAGATATTCGCACAACCAAAGCAACATCATTTCAGTGATACTTGTTTACCCTCTGGTTGTCATAGGAAATCCTGAGTGACAGCCCCAGTCTATCTTATTTGACATGCAGCTTCATGTCATGTTAACCAATTTGTATTCCAGAAAAGTTTGCTCACTGGCTCTCCTCAGGGAACCAGAGAGCATCACTATCAAGCTTTACATGGTATCATAACAAAATTGAGATATTAACCAATTGAGCTGCATGCAGACACAAAGAGATTAAAATCACAGTCCCTGCCCTACTACAATGTAGAAGCTAAAATAGATATCTTCACAATCCTGCTATTCTTCCATAAAACTGGAAAATACAGATGCTAAAACACGAGCTAAGGGCTGACATTTGATATAAGAAATGATGGACATACTTGGCAAGGTGAGTGGAAGGAACACTGGAATTCATAATCCACAAGGATGGGCTACGGAAATACATCCTGTTAGCGGAAAAACCAATGGATCCTTGGGTAGTGCAAATGGCTAAGCCCTCAACTGCTATTAGAAAGTCTGGTAGTTCGAATCTACCCAGAGATAATTCCAAAGACAGAACTGGTGCCCCGCTTTTGAGAAATTACAGCTCTGAAAACTCAGTGGAGCCTTCTACTCTGTATTCACCTTGATGTCAACTAATAGCACAATCACAATGGAGGGATAATCACATCTTTTCGGTCACATGGCTTTCAGAATTATCTGTAAAGGAAAAATGTAACAGTGGACGAGAGGAAGCTTGAGATGTAAGGAAGTTATTCATGCAAAAGATAAAATTATATAAGTAAGGGAGATTGGAAGTAGGAAGAATATGAAATAATATCCCACAGTAGATAGGTCTTGGAGGGAGGGACAGGAGAAGTCAATGTGGGAAATATGAATATGAAAATCAGTGTAGTCCTCAACATTGAAAAGACTTGTAAGTTTTAACACGTGGGGCAATGAAAAGCAATTGCAATGAAAGGCATATAAGAGAACTAGTTAGAGATAGGCTGACCATTCTTAAATGGTTATTTAAGCCTCACAATAGCCCACAGAGAATGTGATTATTACTATCTCCATTATATTACAAAACCAAGGTTCAGAGATGGTAGATCAATAGCTCCAGGTCTTACAGGTAATAATTTTATCTTGGATCCCAAATCTATTCTCTTGTCACAGTAACATCATGACTTAGACAAGACAATCCTGTGGCAAACAGTGGCACAGCACATGGAGAGGTGAGGAGTGGATGAAGTGCTGTCGGTAGGAGCGGAGACTGGGAGCTGCTTAGCATGGAGTCATGACCATCTTCCTCCCAGGGAGGAGCTGGCGGATTCGAGCCATGTACCTTTGTGCTGCTGGTGTAATTCCTTACCACTAAGCCACCAAAGCTCCCCTGCATGTACATACGAGATATCTTTGGCCATACAATGTTTAACAAGTCAGTGGACCCTTACTACCAGACATAGTAAGATTAGAAAGACACACCAAGATTACATGGACTGTGAGTACAGAAGATGAAGGCATTGAGAAAGCCCTCCCACCCCAGATTATTAATAAAGCTGAGTTCATCAGAGGAAGAGAAAGAAGTGCAAAAGCCACTTTGTAGTCTTATTTTTCATTTTAAAACAACTCTCCATGCAGGCCTGGGATTCAGTTGAAGTGAATGAGTCCTCCAGGGTTCAAAATCTAAGAAGGCATTCAGTTTCAAATCTATGCAAATGCTGATTCCCCCTTTGTACCACCTTGTGAGTGAATGCTTCCTTACACTGAGCCTTACGGACCTCTCTTGTGCCACCATAGTTCCACCTCAAGGTCTGTAATTGGCCTGGAGCCCTACGACCTTTACAGGATTTCCAAATTCTTCTGAGTTGTGATGTGTTTAGAGAGAAGTGTGGGTGCAAACACCTAACATTCTCCAATAATGAATCAATGACTTGATGTTGTCAGCCAAGACCCTTTCTTGCTAAATATTCTCTCCGCAATGTTTATAATGGATCATGGGAGATGACAATGGGAACTGCATTCATCATCCAGAAAATTTTATATACTAGCCTACTTATTGAAGATTCATGTTGTGGTGGTGTTGTTACGTGCCGTTGAGTCGTAGGCAACTCACAGCAACCCTATGAACAAAAGACATGCGCAGTTGAATAACTTTTATCATTTCTCTAGGTTCATAGGGTTTCTGGAGGCAAGCTATTTCAGAAGTGGATGCCACTCCTGCTTCCAAGTTTGTTTTAATTGGGGAGCTCCACCAAACACTGTCCACCATGGGTAACCATTCTCTCATTCGACACATCAGTGTCACAGTGTTCAGCTTCACAGCAACCACAAGCTACTTCTGCACAGTAAGTTAACAGACCAGGGCTATATGACCTAGAAGAATGTGTGACCAAAAACAATTAAACAATTTAAACCAAAAACAATTAAAAATTGAAGATTCATAGATTTGTATTTTGCTATCTCTATCTAGACCTTTGCAGATACTATGATGAAGTCATCATGTAAGTGCATGTTAGGTTATTCTCCTAAGTTGACTGCTTTTCTCAATTATCTTCTTATTGAGAACGTTCCAACAGCACCTATCAGAAGGATGAGTTAGGCAGACCTAGCTACACTCACTCACTCTCTCCCTTTCTGGCTGCCTCACCTGCTAACCTTCCTCTTCTTTTTGTGCCCTTCTCTGCTCTCTGTATTAATTGCTTCCTAATTGAAGGAAATAATATTCTCTAAATGTTTGGTGACTTGACCTTAACTTTGAAATTGACATAAACTCTGTTGAGACACTAGTTCACTGATTTTGCAGAATTAAGAATAAGAGCTGCCTAAATGCACCGCCATCCACAATCCAACTCCTGGAAAGAGTCGAAAGGCAGAAACACGTGACCCTCACAAGAAATTCCTCTTTGTTCCTATATCACTTTGTAGTTTCAACTCTAGAGCTAGGAAGATCACCCCAGCAGTCATCTGCACATGACGAAACTCAATTTTCTGTCTCAGTAAGAACTGGTATGTACTGAGCGATTGCCGTTTACCAGGGAGCTCTGATGGCTCAGTGGTGAGGAGTTAGACCGCCAACCCACAGGCATAGATGAGGCTCGAATCCACCAGTTTTATGGTTCAAATCCACCAGTAACTCCTCTGGAGAAAGATGGGCAATCTCCTCCTGTATGATTTATTACATCTGAAAGCTCACTGGAGGGTCAACATGAGTAGGTCCTGATTCAGAGGTACAGAGAGACAGCAGCAGCAACAGGCAGTGTGGTATATACCACTCGGTAGCCATTTTTTCTTAACTGGTTTGTGAAGAAATTCATAGTAAAGCCACTCCTGATACGGAGGTGAAAGTAGGGCTGGAAAGTAGGTCAGGCATCCTTTAAAGTCCATTGTGTGAAAAGTAGAATTTATTACCTCCCCTGGAACAAGGAACGGACAGTGCATATGAGACTACGAGACTTTAGGAAGCTGGGTTGGGAGTATAAACATCTGCATCCTCCAGAGTCTCTGCTTCTACCAATGGCATCTATCAGAAAGACTAATTAATAAGGCTCGAGTATTCCTTAGAGGTAGGAGAGTGAACGTCTGTCTCTCTTGCTTGGGGTACGTCATCTGGAGGTGTCAGTTCTTATTAAAAGACATCATTCTGGAAAAGGTGGAGGGTCAGAGCAAGAAAAGGACAAGAGAGATTGACACAGTGACTGGGACAGTGGGCTGAAGCATATCGAGATCAGGAGGACGGTGCAGGACAGGGCACCGTTTAAACCTGCTATTGTCAGCTTGCTATTAGTGGCAGTCTACTTAACAACGCCTAACAAAGTGTTGGTTACTATGAAAGAGTGGACCAAACCTCTCACCCTCCTCGAAGGTAGAGCTTGAAATAACATCTGCTCCCATGAAGAAGGAATGGCACACAGGCCAAATAGTTGTAATAATAAAAAGAGGGGTTTTTTTCTTTTTTCAGTTGTTTAAACATGGTTGTAATGAATCAAATTTAAGATACTGTTAAATGTGAGTTTCACCAACTTTTTTTTACTGTACCATTAAGAACAAAGAAAAATATATCCACATGCTAATTCCACAGTTGCTTTATATGTTGTTGGTTGCTGTCGAGTCAAGTTGAGTCAAGTATAACTCATAGCGACCCTATGATCAAGGGATTTGAACTCTGCCACCTCTGCACCGTCCATGATCTCTATCATGCTCAAGGTCATTGCAGTCGACCCCCTATCCAGCCGAAGGTTCTTCTCTCTTTCTCTGACCCTTTGCCTTTCTCATTATATTTCCTCAAGAATTGGTTTCTCCTGAAAATATATCTAACATAAGTGAGACGCAGTTTCACCACCCTTGTCTCTAAGAAGCATTCTGGTTGCACTTCCCTCACGAGAGCTGAGTTTGTTCTCTCGGCAGCTTTCTATGTGAGATTGATATGTGTATTGTGTGTTTGTGCATTTAAGAATTTGTAAACTATGATTTATTAATATGCAACATGGCTTTGCTTATGGAGAACAAGTAATTGTAATTACACTTTTAAAAATAGCTATACCAGGAAGAGTGCAAACGGTCATTGCAAAGACAGAAGAGGAAGAAAAGACCAAAATGGATGTCAGAAGAGACTCTGAAAATTGCACTGGGGTGCAGAGAAGCCAAAGCACAGGGAAGAATTCAAGATACTAAAGAGTTGAATAGAAGATTTCAAAAGGCAGCACGGGATGACAAAGCAAAATATTACAATGAAATGTGCCAGGAGGTGGAGTCGGAAAATCAAAAGGGCCGAACTTGCTCAGCATATCTTAAGCTCAAGGAACTGAAGAACAAATTCAAACCTCAAGTTGCTGTAGTCAAGGATGCTTTCGGCAGAATGTTAAATGATCCAGGAAGTATTAAAAGAAGATGGAAGGAATATACTGAGTCTCTGTATCGAAAGGGATTGGAAGACACAGAAGAATTTCATGAAACAACATATGAGCAAGAGCCTATGGTGATGAAAGAAGAAGTTCAGGCTGCTTTGAAGGACATGGCAAAAAATAAGGCTCCAAGAATAGATGGTATACCAATTGACATATTTCAGTTAACAGATGCTGCCCTGGACGTGCTCACCAAGTTGTGCCAAGAAATCTGGAGAACGACCACTTGGCCTACTGACTGGAAGAGATCTATATTTGTTCCCATTCCAAAGAAAGGTGACCCAACCGAATGTGGAAACTACAGAACAATTTCACTGATTTCACAAGCAAGCAAGATTTTAGTGAAGATGATCCAAAAACGACTGGAACAGCACATCAACAGAGAACTACCAGAAGTCCAGGCTGGTTTCAGAAGGGGTCGTGGTACTAGAGACATTGTAGCTGATGTTAGATGGATCTTGGGCTGAAAGCAGGGAATACCAGAGGAATGTCTATCTGTGTTTCATTGACTATGCAAAGGCATTTGACTGTGTAGATCATAACAAACTGTGGCTGACTCTGAGAAGAACACTTGTTCGTTCTGATGTGACACTTATACTTGGACCAGGAGGCAGTTGTCAGAACAGGGCAAGGGAACACTGCATGGTTCAAAATTGGGAAGGGTGTACACCAGGGATGCATCCTATCTCCATACCTTTTCAACCTATATGCAGAACAGATTATCCGGGAGGCTGGGCTCTATGAGGAGAAATGTGGGGTCAAGATTGGTGGACGATTTATCAATAATCTGCGTTATGCGTATGACACAACCCTGCTTGCTGACGCTGAGGAGGACCTGATGCGCCTGCTGCAGAGTGTCAAGGACTGCAGCCTACAATATGGATTGAGGCTCAATGTCAAGAAGACAAAGATTCTCACCACTGGACCAATTGGCAGCCTCAGGATGGATGGTGAAGAGATTTAGATTGTACACAGCTTTAGTTTGCTTGGCTCCATAGTCAACAGTCTTGGCACCAGCAGTCAGGAAATTAAAAGGTGCATTGCCATGGGAAAGTCTGCTGTTAGGGACCTCTCCAAAGTGCTGAAGAGCAGTGGTGTCTCTCTGGAGACTAAGGTGTGTCTGATACAGGCCATGGTCTTCTCAATCACCTGTTATGCATCAGAGAGTTGGACAATGACCAAGGAGGATAGAAGGAGAATTGATGCCTTTGAGCTGTGGTGCTGGAGAAGAATATTGAGAATACCATGGACTGCTAGGAAAGCAAACAGATTTGTCCTGGAGAGGGTTAAACCGGGTGGCTCCTTGGAGGCAAGGATTCTGAGGCTCCGTCTAACATACTTTGGACATGTTGTGAGGAGAGACCGGTCCTTGGAGAGGGACATCATGCTTGGGAGGGTGGAGGGACAGCGCAGGAGAGGAAGGCCCTCTATGAGGTGGATTGATTCAGTGACTAGGGTAATTGGGATGGGAGTGTCAGAGACAGTGCGATTGGCACAGGACAGAGCGGAGTTCAGGGCTGTTGTACATAGGGTCGCTATGAGTTGCAGGCGACTCGACGGCACATAACAACAACAACAAACATACAAATAGTAGCCTTTTAATGTTTTTAAAACTCTTTCAAATAACAGTTAAAATTTTCCAAGAGATCAAACCAATTACTAATAATCTTATTTATGATTTTTATCTTTAAAGCTAATAAACTACTCAAGAGATATGAGGTTTTTTCCAAGATAAATGAAACACGCTTGTAAGAACTGTTACCAACAGATTTTACTCCTGTAATATTAAGGAAAAGTTGAGCACTGCCTCGTTTGTTAGAAGTGAATTTCTATTAATTTCTTTAATAGACCAGATAGACTTTTTGTCAAATTTAACCTACCACTATAAGAATTTATTATATTCTTGCTTTGTTCAAATAAGCTAATGAAGTATGGGTTAAATATTTTTCTTATAAAAATAACTTTTCCTTAAAAAAATTCCAACTTTTTAATTTCAAAGATCCAAAAGAGCTTTTTTATTCAAACTTATGAATCACAATTCTCTCTGAGGCCCATGAATCTCTTAATAACATTCCCAATTTAGATACTGCTGTAGTTACTCTACATAAACTATATAATCCATATTTGATGTTTCTTTTATGAGAGTAGAATATTTAAGTATAACTGCTAATGCATTTGTCTCCCTCTCTCTTATTTCCACAGTTATAGACCCATTCGCTCACATCATATTATCTTTTAGGACATAATGTGTTGTTATGTGCTCTATAGTTGTAAAAGCCAGTAAGATTTAAGTGGAAACGTGAACAGATACAAATGCTATAGTCTCATTTAAAGAAGTCACTAATATTCCACCTGAAGTATTGCCATTGGCATGTTAATAGAATTTATAACTCAGGGAAATCTACATTACAGCTATTTTTACCAAACATTAGCATAGATTTAATGAAAGCCATGAATTGCCAAAAGATTATCTCAATATCCTATCACGGACACTTTTCTTTGTAAGCACGAATTATGCCAATCATAAAATCATATTGAGACGGATCCCCTAAAAGTTCACTCCAGTAGATCAGACGTATTGCCCTTTCTTCCACTCATAAAGGACATCTGAACTATTCCATTACCTCAGGAGAGTGCCCCCCACCTTCCCGTCAAGTCTCATCAGCATGTTCATGGTCCCTTCCCTTGAATAAAATCAAACTAATGAGCTCCTGATTTCACACACACACAAAAGGGAGTCAAAAAGCTCAACAAGCACTCATAACTAGCTGAATTAAACTTTTTAACCCTTTGACAAATACATTTTTAAGAGTTATCTTTAATTAAAGAAAAAATTAATCTGAAGAACCTTAGGACTCACTTACAAAATTAATTTTAAAATGAAGCCAATCCTCTGGCTAGAAAATGATGAAGAATCGCTCTCAAATAATTATCTATAATAGGTCCACATAAAATCTGTTTTAATTATAGCAGGCAATTATACAATGTCACTCTTTAACTTTTCTGGTTGATTGGAATTTGACATTTTGGGGGTTTTTAATAATGGGTTTGCTTATTGAGCTTGTATACACTGTGTTTCACACTGTTCTATGACAGCTTTTGAAGAGTCTTTACCTACCTCATCAGCCATCTCTCCCTAAACAAATGAGAGACTGAAATCCAGAGATCAGGGTCACAATGCGGAAGAAGTAAGTTGGAATCCAGAATCAAATTCCCCTGCTTCCATAATCCAAACCGTGACCCCTATACCATGCCATTTCAATGACAGTCCTTTGGGGAATTAAAGAAGATAATTCGGAGAGGAGAGGCTACCAGCAACAAAACTAAACTAAGATTTGGAATCAAGATTTGGAATCTTCTTTACACCTTATTGTAAAGAAAATGCTTCATTTTCTAGGGTGGAAATGACCACATATAAAAGTAACCAGTAGGGAGAAGAAGGTTCCGTCAAAGCTGTGAAAGTACAATGGAGTAAGAATGTGTAAACTTACGTCCACATGAAGCCATAAGCCTTGCCTCTCACAGATGTCGGCTATTTCGTCCAGAGGATCGAAGGCTCCCAGCACAGTTGTACCAGACGTGGCACAAACAAGAAATGGTACCGCCCCCTGCAAGAAGGATCCACACACAGAGAGAATTACGTCACTACCACTTAACTCACCCTGCAATGTGGATGATAAGCCCAGCTATTCATCCAGATTTTCATCTGGTTTCTTTGGAAGTAATCATTAATTCAATGCCATTTTTAAACTGCCCTGCTAAGTAGCCTCTTGTCATTACAAACAGGTTAAGAAAACTGAGAAAATGGTTTGAAATGGTAGTTCTTTATCCCAATGTTTTCTGAATCCTCAGTTCTTAGACTCTAATCTTCTTCCTGTAGTAATTTCCATACTATAGATGTCACAGATAAAAATATGAGTAAATGAATTGCAATGGCCAACTGACATTCTATATTGTTAGCAACTCCGTCCTGGAAAACTGCCACAGAGTCCCCACAATGCCTGCATCATAGCTTCTCTCAGACAATAAGATGGGGTGGAAGACAAACATAGCTCTGGGAATAAACTGTGTGGACTCTCTGCAACCTTGTAAGTGAAATATAGCTGCAAAACAAATAATATGTTGAACAATTTTGGCATTCTAAGGGATTAGGTAATCTGAGAGTCACTCTTGAAAATGGTGGCCACAACAATGAAGTCCCTTCAGAATGTGCTGGAAAGGAAAGCTTGCATTTTCCCTCCTATGATTGTTTTTTTTTTCATGTACAACTTGTAGAGTGAACAGGCGCTAGTTAGAAATCTGGCAGAAAAGAGCGAATGTGGGAGTATGGGTGGGGGGTAGATGGTAATCATAGTCAACCAAGCCCAACATCTTGATCTCATTAATGTAGTTTATTCTTACTAGGTAGAGGTTGCTCATGGTGGAGCTTCCCGATTATAACAAGCTTGGAAGCAAGAGTGACATTCACTTCCCAAATAGCTTGCCTCCAGAAACTCTATGAACAGTACTCAGGTCTTTTGTTCACAGCATCGCTGTGAGTCATCTAGGAGGTGACAGCACTTAACAACAATAACAACGACAACATAGAGAAAGCTACATTGGCCTAGTAGACAAAAAGTTATGCTACCAAGCCCAAGGTGGGTGATTTTAAACTGCGGTCCTCAAGCCTGGTTTAAATTGTCTTTTGACAAACATTCTTCTAGGTGGTATAGCTCTTGTCTGTGCATTGCTGTACAGAAGTAACTCCTGGTTGCTGTGATGCTAAACACTGTGACATTGATGTGTCAAATGTGATAAAGGTTACCCATTGTGGACAGTGTTTGGGGAGCTCCCCGATTAAAACAAGTTTGGGAGAAGGAGTGGCATCCACTTCCAAAATGGCTTGCCTCCAGAAACTCTATGAATAGTGCTCAGGTCTTTCATTCATAGGGTCACTATGAGTCGTCTATGACTGATGGCACTTAACAACAACAACAGGTAGAGGAAGGGATTCTTGGGTAGTAATTACAGTTAATGCACTCAGGTTAAAAAGTTAAACTTAAAAGTAAGGTTTGAGTCTACCCACAGGTCCTTCTCAAAAACAATCTAGTGATCTACTTCCAAAAAACCAACCATGAAAAAGTCTATGGAGCACACACAGTTCTAAACTGACACACATGGAGTTGTCTTGAGTTAGAACTGACTCAATGGCAATTAATTTAGCAAGAAGACTCGAAGTTGCTTCCAAATGGGTCTATCCCAGCTTGGTGGCACAGATATGGTGTTCCTTGTGGAAGTTGTAGATCAAAGTAGGATTGGGGTACACAAGAAAACTGTTCAGAGTCCAGACCACTTGAGGGTAAGTGACAAGAACATTTACAGCCTTTCAAAGTCATTTTACCGCCATCTAGGATAGAATCATTTCTTTTTCTCACTTCTATCTACAAGTATAGTGTGACTACAATATATTTTATGCCCTTCTAATAATAAGAGTTGTTGCCTTTAAGCTAGACTCATTCCAATTCGGCTGCCTTTGGACACCAAGACGCTATTTCTTTGTGAGTAATGGGGCAGTGTACAGATACTTGCTGACTCTTTAAGCTGAGATGCAAAGTGAATAGTACATATAAATCCACTTATCTTTGGCACCTGGTTCTAACACATGTAATCTGGTCCAACTAACCCTCTTAGAGTCAGACCGATAGGTGACAGAGGCCCTGGGCAAGTCTTCCCGATATGTAACTACCAACTTTATGTCTTTATCAGGCTCAGTAAATGAAAGAGAGCACAATTACATCAATCATTACATGTAATGGAAAAAGTAATTTACTAAAACCATTTCCTGTTTCTTTAATGGGTGAGCTTTTCCTCATAAACGATGTGACATCATGACAGTTGTGAGAAAAATACCTGTGCACACTATTATAAGCCGATTAATGAGCTTTCTTCACCTTTTCTGGATCTTAGCTATAAAAATAAAACAAAACAAACAAACAAAAAAAGAAAACCAAGCCTAGAAATTAAACTTTTGCAGTCTGGATTTAACCTTCCATAGATTTATTTTTTTTTTCCTTTCCCAGATTACATATTGTTAATGAGAAAATTCAGAGGAAAAATATTGACTGCACCCCACAGATAAGCTTTCCCTGAGAAAGTGTGTCATCTTGAACACACACATACATATTCAGGGGTGACACTCATTTTCACTTTTCATAAGTCCATTAAGATCTCTAACGTATCTGTGAGTTTCACCACTTGTGTACTGGCATTGAGCCAGGGTCACTACTCGACAGTTTTTTAATGGGTGGTGATTGGCCAGGGAATTGAATTTTAGGAGAAAAATAAAAATAGTTGATGTGCTATTCTCTGTGTCTGAAACAATATGACTTAGAGGCTTGAAACACCATCATAGGCCTGAGGCAACCCAGAAGAAACAATGAGTCATCGTAGATTATTATCCAAGAACGATGCCAGGCTGGCCTTTGGTGAGCTCAGGCTCCGGTTCAACAAACTTGAAAGAAAACAGAGGAGACCAACTCCAGCCATATATTGCCCTACTTTTAAATGTGCCTCAGGCAAGTTTCTCTTTTTAAAAACTTATTCTTTACAAGTTCTCAACATTGTGAGTTTGTCAGTTTCACATACTTGTGTTGTCAAAATAAACAAAATACTTTTGAGCAACAAGAAAAATTCTGACTGCAATAGAGTGAGACGTATCAAATATACTTGAAACATGAGTTCTTAATAATACTATACAAAAGTATTGGCTCTCTTTGGAGGAGACTAGGCAACCAAGACAGAGAAAGAATAAAGAATTTATCTTGTCCTGTGTGAACTGTTTCTGTGGAAAAACCAAACAGTAAGGAAAGGAATATTTTTTTTCTTTATAGCTAATAAAGAGACTGAATTTTTGTAAACAGTAGAGAGTGAATTAGAACGTCAACTAATAAAATAATGAGTTTGAAGAATGATCACCAATGGTAGACAAATCCAAGAGCTTTATAAATGGCTAAATGATAATCACTTGACCCTCTAGTCTTATCACAAGAGAAGAGGTGCTTCCTAGTGTTGTTATAAGGGGCTGCTGAGTCAGTTTTGAACCACGGCGACTCTACGTTGAACAAGAGCGAACCCCAGGCATCATGGCCCAATCCTTCACTATCCTCACAATATCTGCTTCAGCTTGTTGGTGCCATTACTGTTTCCATCTGTCTCAGCGAGTCTTCCTCCCTTCTTTCCTTTTAATGATCTCTACTTTTCTAAGTCTGATGTCCTACCACCTGCGATGAATTATTTGGAAAAAAACCTCCAAAATCTAATACAATTCTTTGAACCTTAAGATCTGTCAAGTTATTGGAAATAACGATAACAAACTGAGAGCAGGGAGGCAAGCATTAGATATTAAAATATGAGAGGAAATTAATAAAGTTGAGAAAGAAGAAAATATTAAACAAAAGTAAAAACTAAAAACGCTAAAGCAAGTATAGGGTGAAACACACACACACACACACACACACACACACACAATTAAGAATAAAATAAAAATTAAAAAAACCCTGTTAGGTTAGGTTAGTGGATTTAAAGAAGAAATCAGAGAGAATGAGAGAAAGTGTAATGCAGCTTTATTAAAAGGGAGAAAAGGGAGCTCCCGGGTGAGTTCCTCATCCTGGAGAGGCAGATGGGAAGTCACACTGTGAACTTACTGGGAAGGGTTTTTATAAACAGAGTCTTTAGGGAGGGACATTCCACTCTGATTTACGAGCCACCTACTAGCTTAGCCAGATAGGTAAGGCCGTTTTCACTTCTTATCTGCAACAAGCAAGGCCATCAGCATTTGAGTTCTGAATTCTTCATTTTTCTCTTTGGCCCACTTTGCCCAGACTAACAAACCCCAAACACCCACTAACCCAAACCTCTACTACTGAGTTGATTCTGACTCCTGATGAACCTGAAGGACAGATGATCTGCCTCATAGGGGTTCCCATAGGGCTGTTGGGTGGTAGGTTTACCATCGAGTCAGAACTGACCCACAGCTCACCCTCCAGTGGGTTTTCAGAGGCTGTAAATTACATGGGAGGAGATTACCCATCTTCTTCCCACAGGGTAACTGGTGGATTCGAACCACATGTCTTCAGGTTGGTAGCCTGAAAACCTTAGAAGAAAAGAAAGAAGGAAAGGAAAGAGAAGGAAAGACCGAGGGAGACAGGGTTGTGAGCCACACCAAAAATACATCAATATGTCCTGCCAATAGGCACATCATGAAAATTCTTTCTGATAGAAATTTTCTGTGGAAAAATATTTCCATTTGGTGGTTTAAATGTCCTCATGTGCGATTTACTCCTCTGAAGCCTGCTGGAGAGTCACAGATGGGTACGTTATGATTTGATGGTCCACAACAATGACATTCTTTCTAGAGTGAGACTGTCCCCTCTTTTTGCTGCAGAACAACTAGTGAGTTTGAACAGCTCCATTTCTAGTAAGAAACCCTAAGCTAACCACAGCGCCACCAGAGCAGAGCTCCTTCTTGTAGGACAAAGAAATGAGCTTATTTAAGAAATCCGTGGCAGAAAGGACAGGAACCGAGTGGAATCTCTAGATTAGAAAAGATTTGTGTGAAGGAGTAATGAAATGCCTTGTGCAGACTGTTTGAAACCTAATTCAAACAAGCCAAAGACTTAAAGAAACAAGTAAAAGACAAGGAAGGAAATGGGAGGAATTTTAACACAGACTGCATTATCAAGTCTATCATTTTAGATATCATGAAAACTTTATGTTTTTAAAAGAGATTGTATCTTTCCTCATGCTTGATATTCAGCTTCAAAATAATCCCCTGGCAGCGGGAAGGGATGGGGTATAAACAAAACAGATCGGAGCATGAGTGATTGATTATTAAAGTTGATGGGCAGAAGGGAATTAACTGTATTCTTATTTGTAATTGTGCTACTGTTTGAAAATCAAAGTTTTAGAGTCTCAAGATGCAGGCTGAGAAGGCTGTGATCCCGGAAAAACAGTCACTGTTGCAACAAGCATTGCAGACACAGCGTAAGTTCTTTCTCATAGGAATTTCTGTAGACTGAAGTGAAAAAGCAGTATCGTTGACTCACAGTGGAACAAGCTCTTCATAGGTTAAAGATTTTTCTTATACTGTACTGACCCAAGAGTCAGAGATACTCTGATAGTCTATGCCACCAGGTAACCATCAGCCGTCCTTGTCATTAGAATGAGTTGGGGAGAAACAGAGAAAAACGGAATAAACTATGTATACTGTATTGAAGCAAATGAGGGAGAGAACTGTTTAAGAGGGATGTATGATTAGGTATTATTTTCATAACAGGAGTCCAGAATGAACACTGTATAGTGGAGTGGACTTGGGGGGAGGGATTATATAACAATGAAAGAGTTTTTCTTTTACTTTTCAAAGAGAGGAGCGAACTGAGGGGGGAGATTGGGCAGGAAGAAAAGTGCAACAATGAATAAATGAAAATCCGAAGTCTCTGTAAGCATTCATTAAAATTAATAAAATAAAATTTAAAAAAAAATACATGGAGAAAGATCCAAGTGAATACATGTGTGGTAGTAACAGAATGTTTAAGCACAGAATTTCAAGCCTGCCCCCAGAATGAGGTGATACACAAATTTTTTAAAAAAACATAGAGAGGACAGCAATAGAATATAAAGATGAGAAAAAAAGAGACATGTTTTTAGTGAGAATTCCTATGAGGAAAGATATCCTTACATCCCAGCTCAGAAGCTGGGCTTGTAATTTTTCAGCAGGGATGCCATTGGGAAGGCCCCAGGAAACTGTCCTGCACAGCCCCCCTGCCCCCAGAAGTGGGGTGTGGGAGGTGGGAGGCAGAGAGTGAAGCAGTGAAGCTGGTTCATTTAATTCAGCAGGTGTGAGGTCCAGGTGTGCTCCACAAGAGGCAAGACGGGCGCCACCTTGAGCCTGGGTGGGAACATAGGTGCTGGCCAGGTGCATGCTTTGTAAAGGGAATGCTGGCTTTGATACATTCCAAAAGCTAAATAAAGACAGCATGTTCTGCCAGAGCTGACACGCTGGGCAGAGGCCCACTCGGAGGTGTTGGGAAGGGATAGACTTTGGCTTGAGAGAAACCTGGGAGGAGAGATGGATCTAGAAGTGAGGAATCATCCTGAATGCAACCGAGAGGCTTGGAGTGGCCAGTCATGTTCTGACAGCCAGGAGGTTTGTAGAAGGAATGCTGGGACGCTGCTGGGGAGAGGCTGGGTTCACCCTTAGGGCTACGTCTAGGCAAGGATCCTACTTATGATGATACGAATGTTTTACTAGGCTCCAGCCACCTGGGAATGAGAACATCCGAGAAACTCCACAGGGCTTGGAGAGCCAAGCACCTGGAAATAGAACATCTGTGAGTGAGTTTCCCCTTTTTAACTGCTACCTGCACTCTTCTCTCTCCTACACACAGAAATGGGTTTGACTGTTTGCATCCTCTGTCATTCTCTGTGACTCTGCACACCCAGACACCCACCTATAGCTCCCCTCCCTCTCTTTCTTTCCCTCCCTCTCACCTCTTTTCTGGCTTGCCAGACTTGCCTCTCCAGTTCCGCAGGTATCATTTTGCCTCTAGGGGACAGATTTGAGAAGTTCAGTTCTGGTTAGACAACACTTTTTAAAGAGCATGAGTTTTCCCCTCCACCCGCCAAGCCTGGGAGCCCATGCACATTACCTTCCATCTGTTTCCACAAAGCAAACGTTCTCAGTACCAATCCCAAGAAAGGAAGCTGCTTTCTTCATGGAGTAATGGCACTGAGTTAAAGGGACAGAGGCAAAGAGAGAGACAGGGAAGCATGAAAAACGAAATACTCATTGTTTACATGAGTATAAATCATCCCGATTGAGCATAATCTTTGGAACATCATTGCATAAAAGAAAACAGATGTTTAGTTGAGGCCCTTAGTATATAATGGTTGAGAACATTGACTTTGATGTTAGAGAAACCAAGACTTATTTCCAAGTCCTCCCAGTTTCAGCTATGGAAACTTTAGTGAATCATTTCTGCTCACCAAGGCTCAGTTTGCTAATCTATAAAGTGGGCATGACCGTAATTGTCCTCTTCAATGACCTGTTAAGAAGTTAGGTTCTTGTTAGTTGCTACTTGCCTAAGACTCATAGCAACCCTTTGAACAACAATAGTTGAAACCTTTGTTGTGTCTTGAAATATATGAAATATTTGAAAACGTCTGAAAGTGATGGACAAATAGAAGAAAAACTGTTCAGTGAAAGCTGTTTTTCTTTGTAACATTGAGAAAATTTCTCTTGAAGCTGTTAATAAGACTCGGTCTTAATGGAGACACAGAACCCAGCCTAGTATTGTCTCAGCCCTTTCAGAAGAATAACAAGAAGCTCTATCTCGAAGACTGCAGTCAGACTGGAGAAGAATTTAATTATCTCCAAGAGCAAGAAATGAGTCGTAAATGTGGATCAGATACTTGACCAATCTCTTTAAATATTGAATGTAAGCCTGAAATTTGAAGTATGAGAACGTGGCTAAAATAACAAAACATGAACCCAAAACTCCTGGTATAAATGGATCCCGACTCCTGCTGATTTGCTGGACAGAGTGGAACCACCCTGCAGGGTCCCCAAGGCTGCAAATCTCTGTGGACACAGACTGCTTGATTTCCCTTCCACAGCGTAGCTAGTGGGCTCGAACCACCAATCTTCGGCTGAGATGCTGAGTTCTTTAAACAGTATGCCAATGTTTTTGTTGCGTACCATTGAGTAGGAACTGACCCATAGCTGATCCTCTGACAGGTTTTTGGAGGCAGTTAATCACACAGGAGGAGATTGCCCATCTTTCTCCCATGGAGCGGCTGGTGGATTCGAACTGCATGCCCATGGGATTGCAGTGCAGCTTCTTGTCACTAGCCTCCCCCAGAATCCCTGTTATGCCAATAATCAAAGTGGAAATGACAAAACCAGTAATACATTCTAGATACACTACCTTATGCAGCTATGGTGTGAGTGAAGCTGGGTGGTTCGGGAGTGGCTGTCATTGTTTTCAAGAGGAGTCACTGCAACTCCTAGTGACCCAATGAACAACAGAGCCGAACCTCACCAGATCCTCACAATTCCTGAGACGCTCGAGCCCGCTGCTATGCTCGGTGTCAGCCCATCCTGTTGGCTGCTACGCTCACGGTGTCAGCCCATCCGGTTGAGGGTCTTCCTCTTTTCCTCGAGCCCTCCACCTTTTCCAGACGTCTTTTTACAAGGACTGCTCTCTCCTGAACATGTCCACAGTATGTGAGACAAAGTTTCACTCTTCCTGTTCCAAGCAGCAGCCTCGAATTAGGCTGGCCTGTTTCTTCCTCACAAATGTGTACAAGCCCTTGGTTATTGGGCCTTTCTCTGCCCCCAACCATACAACCTATAAAATAATTAGCATTCAAACATTGGAGATGTCACTCTTCAGATATTAGTGAAGACAGGTGGTCAATTAATTCCTTTTTTCATGCCAGAAAAATGAAGATGTTAAAGGACATTATCTTACAAAAAAACCCCTAAGTAATTTAATTTGTAGGTCTGAATATATTAAAAGAGTAGCCGTGCCTTCACACTTAACTTGATATATTCCCTCAAATGCAATCATTTTTCCCCCTACTTTTGTCAAAAGGGTTATATTGGGAGCTCTTCCCCCTCTCCCAGCCCTTAATTCTAAAATAATAAAAGGTAGGGAAGCCCACCATCAGGAAGAATGCAAGCATCCTAACTAATTCATTTCCGAATATCAAACAGGACACATTCAAAATGCCTGTAGGATGTATTCATTTCAGGTTGTTACAGGAACATATGCATATTGAAGAGTAATAACAGACGTGAAAATGTAATTAATTCTCTACTTGTTACAGCAGCCTGTGTTGATCTGAGGTAACATGTCTGGCATAGCTAAAATGACAAAGCTGGGGTGAATTCTTTCTCACCAGAGATTTGGACTCTGACAGTCCCACAGCTATTGATTTTCTAGTGACAAATACTGGTCTAGACCCACCGAGAGCAGCTCATAAGGAAAAATCACCATGGTCCACACCTAAAAAATTAACACAATATCCTGCATCCAACAGGTCTGAGGAATAAGAGGTTTATAATCATAATCGCTTCAGTGCAGGTGTCTCAGAGCAAAATAGAGTCCAATGTCAATCTCAAAAGGATAGAGACAGATAAAAAGTCTTCAAAACTGAAGCCTGGACATCTGAAAGCATCAAAAAAGGCAAAGAGCCCTGGAAGGGAGGACCAGAGAAGAGAGATGCTTCAGACATGCTGAGGAGTTCCAAGGAACAGAAAAACCTAGAAGGCTGCCTCTCAGAAGTAACAACTGCATTTAGAAACCAACAGTGGCTGTTCCACCGCTGGCGAAAGAAGTCAGTCTTTCTAAGAGCCAAGCTCCCTGTGGGTTTGAAGCGTCTACAGAAGATGTGAAAACCTCAGTGGGTGCTCATTTCTACAAAGATAAAACAGTGAGGGTCTATGTGAATAGCAGCACTGAGCTGACATCGTGTGCAGATTCCAACAAGGAACTTTTTTATATGACCTTGGGTTCCTCACTGAACCACTGTTTCCACTGGATTTAGTCCTCTGAACAAGTGATTTCCATCACTAACTAGCTTGGTGGTCACTTAGCTCAGGGTGGCAGGAAGGAAAGGGTGAAACATGGTATATCCCAGGAAATGGGAAAAGGGGGTGCGGATGAGGTCTCTGAGATAAACAGTGGGTCCAATTCTGAAAGAAATCAGAGCCTAGAACCTAAGGAGGCAGATTCCACTCGTGTTCTGTACAATGAGGTCACAAGCAACTGCTTGCCCATTGAGAACACCCACAAAGCAGCTTGTTGCAGGGGAGTTCACATCCTGAGAGCAAGGTCACAGCCCGGATGAGGGGCCAGAGCCAGGGTGAGGGGGCTACAGCCAGGGTGAGGGGGGCAGAGCCAGGATGAGGGGGGCCAGAGCCAGGGTGAGGGGGCTACAGCCAGGGTGAGGGGGCCACAGCCAGGGTGAGGGCCCCCGAGCCAGGGTGAGGGGGCCAGAGACAGGATGAGGGGGGCAGAGCCAGGATGAGGGGGGCCAGAGCCAGGGTGAGGGGGGCACAGCCAGGGTGAGGGGGCCACAGGCAGGGTGAGGGAGCCACAGCCAGGGTGAGGGGGCCACAGGCAGGGTGAAGGGGCCACAGCCAGAGTGAGGGGGCCAGAGTCAAGGTGAAGAGGGCACAGCCAGAATGAGGTGGTCACAGCCAGGGTGAAGGGGCCACAGCCAGGGTGAGGGGGGCACAGCCAGAGCGAGGGGGCCACCACCAGGACTAGGTGGCTATGGTGCAAAGTACATGAAGGCACGACTCTGCAGCTGGCACTCACATCACACTACTCCTGCCTCACTACAGCCCGGCCAGGCCAACTGACCACTGGCCTCGGGGGTGGCAGTTCCTTTTTATACTCCATTCCTCTTAGTAGCAAATAATTTCAACTTTCCTGATTCCAAAATAGTAATAATAATAATAATTGGGATGCTTCAGGAACATTAGACTTTCCACCTTGCCAAAGAATTCATAAGGCACTTTGATCGTGTGGTGTACTACACGCTGGGCTGTAACCTACAGGTCAGGGGTTTGCATCCACCAGCCACTCAATGAGAGAAAGACAGTCTCCTCTCATAAAGTTTCACAGCCTTGGATATTGGAGGGGGACAGGGGATAGTCTTGGTGATTTGGACTCCACTAGATGGCAGCTTGGGCTCTGAGGAATTCATGTTGAAGTGCTGCTCAAGTTCAGAGGAGACCCCTTCTCTTTTATTCCCATTCAGTATCAGAGATCGTGTCTGTAGACAGTGTGAGGTCTCGGTCATCATCTTTTAGCTCTCCATTAAAAACTGAGTTTTTTAAAACCCAGAGAGGCACCTGCAGGGGTCAGGACAATTGTTCTGTGTTTGCTAGTACAAGGTGGGGCATGAGTGATTGCCTGGCCAGTCTGAGACAGGATAAAACTGGATAAGACCACAGAATAAAACAATTGAGTCAAGTACGGCTCATAGCGACCCTTGGAACAAAAGATCTGAACAGCGTTCTATCCTGTGTCATTTTACACTTCCTGACACACAAGAGCCCACTGTAGCTGTCACTGTGTCAATTCACCAGGTTGAGGGTCTTCCTCTCCTTCGCTGACCCTCCACCCTTCCCAGCATCATGTCTTTTTCTGAGAAATAGCACTTTTTAGCAACATGCTCAGAGTATATGGGGTGAAACTTCATCATTCCTGCCTTATTCCAGCTATACTTTCTCCAAGACATATCTCTTCATTCTCTTGGCCGTCCATGGGATGTTCAGTGCTCTTCTTCAACACCAAAGTTCAAAGGCATCAATTATTTTTCTATCATCTTTATTCATTGTTCAGCTCTCAGATGTACAGAAAGACCATGGTTTTAATCCGCTGCACCTTAGTTCTCAAACTGACATCGTCACTACTCAATAATTTGGAGAGGTCCCTAATTGCAGATTTTCCCAGTGCAATGTGTCTCCTTATTTTCTAACTGTTGGTATCAAGGGTGTTAATTGTGGATCTAAGCAAAATGAAACTGTTGACAGTACAGGAAAACAGTATCGAGGCCATGGATCAAAAATATATAAGAAAATAAAGTGAGTGTAGGAAAGAAGGCATGATAGTGTTTAAAACCATTTAATAAGCAGACACTCACTTCTGCCAAGTCAGCGTCCACTCACAGCTACCCCCCATTGGGTTCTAAACCAGCAAATCATAGTGGGAGGCGATGTCCCGCCTTTCTCCTGAGGAGCCGCTGGTGGATTTGAACTGCCTGCGGTGCAGTCTTTTGATTAGCAGAGCAACAGTCTGTGGGCTAGGTCACTGCCTGAGGCCCCTAAACATTTCTCTCTAGGTTCCAACTCAAAGTTGACGAGCCAGCAAGTTTCCAAGTCTGTAAATCACACTGGAGGAGACTTGCGTTGCTTTTAAGAGGAGAAGGTCATAGATTCTGATGGACAAGCACAGCCCTTAACCCCCATTCCTCTCTGAGTGGACTCTGCCACCAGAAGCCCTGCCCCTAATCATTGCTCGGCCATGCGCTGCTTTTGAGGTGGGACTGGGCCCCTGTCGGGTTTTGGAGGCTGTGGATTGCATGAGAGAAGCCTGTCTCTCTTCCTCCTGCTGATGGTGGGTCTGGACTGCCAGAAAGGTACTGCCTGTGACTCCCTTAGCACAGTTCCCTACGGACTGCATCACAAAACCTCCCTTAACATAGCGCTTTTCAATTCTTTTTTATTAAACAAATGAATTTATTTGTTGAGTTAAATGGTCAAGGTGGCCACTAAAATAGGAATTTAGATCCTGTAAACACTAGGATCTGGATCTTTTAGATAATGCAGGGCAAAGAAGAAGTCATACAGGGATGGATGGGGAGAAAACATAGCCAAGGCTAACATGCTTTCAGAGACGAGGAAATTGGCTCAAGGCAGAGCAGGGTTCAGAGCTGTTGTACTTTGAGTTAGGAGTTGCAAGTAACTTGACAGCACATAACAACACAAAAACAACAACAACATGCTTTCAGAGTGAGAACATATTACTGTGGAATTTACAACTAGTTCTGGTTTTTTAAGCTCTCTCTTCTGATCACCCTCCAGCCAAAGTTTTTGAATGTATACTCTCCCAGCACAAATAAAGCAAGAAATACATCAGACATGAAAATCAAAGGTCTGGTTCCGTAACTACCTTCGACTCAATTCCTTTTCACTCTCAATTTATCAGCCACATCTGTATTATGACACTTTCCTGGCCATAACCTTTATTCTAGAAGATTCCATGATAATGTCCCTTCTTTCAACGTACTTATTCCAGAAGAAAACTTCTGTAGATTTTAAAAACAATGAAGAAGGAGAAGAGGCAAATAGAAAACATGGCGCTCACAGGAGGGGTCCTGCTAAACTGCTTTCCCAGGCCTGGAATAGCGACCCAGTCACAGAAGGGACTTTGTATTTCTGATACACAGGGGTCCCTTAAACTGACATAACCAGGGTGGAATTCAAAGAGGGAAACTCTTCTCCATAATAACTAAGCATTTCCCCAAGCTGTCCACATTAGCAAGTTCGCCTTGCCATGGGAAGAACATCTCATAAATGTTCACCTCTGGTTTCTGCTTGAAAATCTCAGACCAGACTGCTTCTTGCAGGGGGTCTGCCAGCATTCAAGACCCCACTTTGCATTAGCACTGCACTCACTCAAGCAAAGATCCAGGAGGGAAAGATGAGGGGGCCAAGCCGTCTTTGACTGCTGGCTTCTTAGTGTACAGTCTGTCCTTTTACAATAGAGATGGAATGACTGGTCTGGAAATAATATAGCAGATACAGAGAAGTCTGGCAGGAAATAAGAAGAATTTATAGATTTCAGACATCTCATGAGTTTGCCAGGGAGACCAGGAATTACTGCAGAAGATATTAACTGCAGGAGATCCTAGGAAGAAGCACCCACTAAAATTATACAACTTAGGGAGCTCTGGAGGCCTGCTATTGTTGTTAGGTGCCCTCAAATCATAGGGTTGCTATGAGTCGCAGGCAACTAGATGACACATAACAACAACAATAACAACAACTATGTGACACCTCTCTACCATTCCCTTGAGAACACGTCTGGACTGACCAGCTGAAGAGTGACATACATACACAACAGACAGGAGTCACTGCACTTGCCCTGTCAGAGCTGCCCTAGATCAGCCATCAGCAAGCAGACCCAACCATGTGAGGGAGCCTGACGTGAGCTGCAGAACTATCCAACCATGTGATCCTTGAGACCAATACCGCATGGAGACAGTTCTGTATTGATGAGTTTATGAACAACTTGTTGGAAAGCAAGAGTTAACTCCCATACTTAATTGTACTGATTTAGAAACTGAGGAATGGAAAAGCCAATCAGATCTTACTCAAGGTCATTCACATGATAAATGTACGATAAATAAATATAGGATTAAATCCAAGCACTCCGATTTCCAGATCAAAGTCAATGCACTTAACCATTATTCTCTGATGCTTCTCTTTTGAGAGCAAACTAAGAGATAAGAGATCTGATGCCAGATTCAATTGTGTGTGTGTGTGAGATGCTCCTCATCATTGATTATCTCTTTTTCCCTTTGAAAAGGAATATATGAAAGCTTTATATCAGCCCCCCAAAGCAATCAATTTTATAAGGAATGAGAGTAGAAGGCACAGGCTAGACCAGTAGCAAGCGTCTAAGCCCTAATAATTTCGCTCAAAGAAGGGATTCATGGGAAGAGATAGGACTTTCAAATTAAATGTTCTCTTTTCTCAAAGGAAAAATGTCACAGTCTATAGCATTTAAATAAAGGTGATGTGCAAAATTGGGTGGCCAGAGGTTACCGCACCAAAACCATCAGATTTCCCCTTGGAAAAAAAGATATTGTGTGTTATCCCGGCTTTTTATGCAGCACAAAGAGTATGAAAGCATATAAGAATCCCTAGACAAAGAAGCCCATGTAAATAATGCACGATCAGAAAAATATATGCCTGAAAGCAAGACGAATATTTTACCTCTGCAGATGTGAAAAGGACTAATCTTGGCAACCCACACAGCCCTTTTTCCTTAATATCAGGACAATATTTGTATCTAGCTAGATTCATAGCATACATATTGGACACTGAACCACCTGCAAAAACAAAAGCAAAAGATTGTATTTATTGCATGAAGTTAGAGCTCTCTAATTGTAGAAAACAACATAAACATAAAAGGCACAGATCTCCATGGACATTAGTTGAACTAGCCTTCCTCTCCACCCGCCATGATCCTGGATATTCCTCTGACACAATTCCTAATTTCTAACCTCAGGAAAAAAGAGATTCTCCTCAATTCTTTCATTCCAATGATTCTCTAAACTACTGGCTTCACTCTATGATTTAAGACCAGGAGATTCACCTGGACACCAGTCTCCATAGTCAATTTTCATTCTATCATCTGATCAATAAAAGGAAAGCAAAGTCACATGCTCTCCCACCAGCTCCCCAGCCCCCTAAAAAAAGGCTTGTGAGCATAAACAAAACGTGATTCAGAAACCTTCTCAGGTAAAATTGATTCGAAAACTGTAGGGACTTATTATAGCCATTGCAATCTCGCAACTGCAGATAAATTCACTTCTGTTAGTGACAAACCCTCAATTGCAGAAACCACAATTGTGTGACAATTTGCTTTGCATTTATGGAAATATCATCGCTCTCTAAAAGGCACAAGCTAGGCTCTCAACCAATAGCCCTATCAAGATCCAATTTCTGTAACGTGGAAATCAATAAGAACTTTCAGTTCCTTACGTAGGACACGGCTAAACGAGTTGGTAGTTGGTCATAATGAAAGGTGATGGTAGTAACTAATTGCACTTACCTGGGTTAAATATTCCATCCCCTTCTTTCCAGCCAATACATTCAATCATTTTCTTCAGCACTGCTTCTTCCACTAACAGAAACACTGGGGACACCTCATACGTATAACTAGATAGATATAAAAAACACTTCACTTCCATGGCTAGAGTCAAACCAACCCTTTGGTGTCCCAAGAAACACACATTGAGTTTTATTCAATCACTTGGCTGGTGAAGTGTAGGAAGAGCCTTTGGAAATACATTCACTGGAAATAGAGAACTATGTCACCAGTGTTAGAGCTAGCCATAGGGGAGCTAAAGGCCGGTCGCCAGAGAACAAAGGAATATATAGGCAAGCTACTCCATCCGACTTCACTTAAGAGACCCTTGAATTCCACTGGGAGAGTAACCAGGGTCTAGTGCATCCGGATTCATGATATTAGCTATGAGAAGTAGCCATTTCCTTCTTAAGGTGTGCTCTTCTTAAAAGTCACTGTCACGGTAACCCGATTTTATTACTGGTTACTGGTTTTATTACTGGTTGCTTCCATGAATTCTTAGTACGTTAAGAGCCAAATTTCAGCAATCTGCACAAAGACGGCCTGTGCTGAGCTGGGGTTTCCTCCACCCCACTGTCTATGGTTGTACAAAGGAGAGGAGCTCTGTGGCGATCTCTCTGTGGCTGACATCCCTGCAAAGGCACTTAGGTCTCCAGTCCTCGAAGGGCTGGGGGGGATGAAGTGTTATTGTCAGAGAGAGGGCGTCATGTGGGTACTGTAGGGAATGCCTCAGCTGAAGCAAGTGACCACCACTCCATGTTCACCCCTCTTCAGGAAAGCTGTCCACTTGCTGACTGACGTAGTCTGAGGGATAATGGTATCTGGGCTCAATTTTTGACCACTTTGAGGGGCCATGCTAGTTCCAGGGACCTCTGTGGCCATCCCTAGCCACCACCGCATGGCAGTTTGACTCTTCATCTTTGCTCATTCCTGCTTCTTTTTCTCCCATGCACCTGTCACTCTCAAAGCTGCTCTTTAATAAACATCATGCTCACTAAACAAAGGGTCTGTAACAGACATCAGGCCTATTACAGACATCATGCCTTATTTTGCTGTGCTGACATGTCTTCTCCATACAGATAATGTGAAAGTAACTAAATATAATCTTCTTCTCAATTAAGTGGGAAGTTGAAATTGTATTTGAATAAATGTATATTCTGAATATGAGTTAATAATATTTATGTTTACTGTCACTGAATTTGATGCAATTATTTTAACATTAGAAGGAAAGGACTTGAGAAGAAGGCAAAGAGACCCCATTATATGTCTTTACAAACAAAGATCGTGTTTTCAATGATGTTATGAAGCCAGTTTCCAAAGCTGAGAGTTCCAAAGTCTGTATGCTGTGTGTAGACACAAATAGAAATGAACTAGCCATTCATATTCTGTAACAAACTAAGTCAGTAAGAAACAAGCTCTGAAAGCTGGTCCAATAATAAACTTGAGAATAAGCTGGAGGTGGAGGAGAATGTAACATAAGCTGTATTGATGGCTGTGTTTCGAGTGAATCATTTAGGTAAGCATTTGCTAGGATCTGAATTTGCATGATTAATAGTCTTCTTTCAGTCCTCTGATCAATAAAATCATAGTGATTATGAATACTCATCCTTGACTCTGAAGACAAATTGTAAGGAGAAATGAAGTGTGGTGCAGACATCTTCTTAAGTAAAATTTATATTTAAATAAAGGGCTTTGTTTGTTTTTTATTTAGTATTGCTATTAACCTAATTATTTCAACAACGGGACTCAGACAGAAATTAGAAAACCTAGAACATAAGGGAGCTTTGGTGATCTAGTGGAAAGAAGCTGTACTGTAATCCCAAAGGCACACAGTTCAAATCCACCAGCTGCTCTGCTGGAGAAGGGTGGGCAATCTCCTCGCACATGATTTTTTGTCTCTAAAAACCCACTGGAGGGTCGTCTATGTGTCAGTTCTGACTTGACAGTACACAACAACAGAACATCTTAAGAGAGTTCAGAGAGTGTGCCATCCTGTTACACTTTCTGGCTTATCTGTCATTTATTCTTCTATCCTTTGTACCCTGACATCTAGTTGAACAACTCTACTAAAGCTTCTTTAGCTAATGTCACTAATGATGTCCATATTGCCAGAGAAATGAGCGTTTTTTAGTGCTTGCCTTGGTTAACTCTTTAGGACCATATGATACTACTTATCCTTTCCTGCTTTTAGGCTCTCTCCCCTGCATAAGTTCCACATTCACTTTTCTTCTCTCTCTCTCACTCTGGCTTGATGTATCTCTCCTTCCTTCCCACCTTCACTCCCCCATGTGTCTCTCTCTGAGAGTCTCCCTCCCTCCCCCTTTCTTCCTTCTCTCTCTCTCTCTCTCTCTCTCTCTCTCTCTCGCTCGCTCTCGCTCTCTCTCTCTCCATACTGTGCTGAGCCCCCTCATCCTAGCCATTCCATGTGCCCCAGGCCGTAGTTCTCCATTCTGACTGTTCATTAAGAATCACTTGACAGCTTTGTAAATACGGCAATTCTTGGAACAGAACACATCTGCAAGGATTCAGATATCATTGAGCTGTTAAGTTAGAGCCTGGAAATCAGTATTTTTTAAAAAATATGCTTCCAAGTTGATTCTTATGAGAAGTCAGAGCAGAGAATCACTGACCATTATCTATGCTCACAGGTTCAATTACTTCTATTCACCAATCATTCCAAAAGTTATATAGAAATAATTCCTGAATATATATTTATATATGTATATATGTATATGCGTGTGTGTATATATATATATGTGTGTGTGTAGATAGATAGATAGATAGATAGATATAGATATACAGACAGATATAGATATATATAGAACACCTTTCACAAACCTATGTCAATTCCAGGTATATTAGTACTACAGAGCCCTTTCCTTCCTCTCCCCAAACAGCTACTGAAAGACTCCAGTCACAGGAAGCAAGAGTTGTGCTTTTTCTGTCAAGGATGTGAAACTACCCTATCCTCTTTTCCAGAAATAGTTCTCTGAGACCCCAGCCCACTTCCCAATTTTGTAGAAAACATCTGTGAGCATCCCCTTCCTCAAGTTCCTTGGAAGAGAATATCACACCCCTCTCTAACTTACAGTGGGGGCTGGTTTTCAGCTTGAGACCAGCCTGGCAGTTTCTCCTTAATAAACTGTCTTTCTTGGCCTGAACTGGGTTCTGTCCTTTCTTGGTGACCTTACATTGTGTATATAAAATGTCTTTCACAAACCTATCTCAATTTTATGTAAAATGCCTTTCACAAACCTATCTCAATTCCAGGTATAACTCGCAGGTGAGTTGATATGTCTTCTTGGTTGTTCTCAAAGTCAGTGAAGACTCAAATGCTTACAATTGAAAATGGAATTCTTTCTCTCACTTCAGATCCTTATTTCAGTGAATGGAATTATCATCAACCCTTGACCTCACGTGGTCTTCTTTCCCAGTGTTCCTGATCTGAATGACAGGACCTTCAACACCGATATGAACGCCAGAAACCTAGGAATTATTCCAGAAACTTCCCTTCTTCTTCATTTCCAAAATCCAGTATATCATCTTTTGTTTCATCTTCTAAACACATTCTTCCCTCTTAATTTCTACTCCTTTGATCTAAGCTCAATCAATTATCATCTCTCATCTTACTGAAGTGATGCCTCTTAATTAGTCCCTTCCAATATACTCTTTCTCTAGACTGCGAGGATTATCTTTTCAATAAGATAATGGTACCCAATGAAGTAGAACCCTTGAGTGGCTTTTCACCGTACTTAGAATTGAAAACTGGGCTCTGTGTGTCTGGCCTATATTATCTCTCTGGTTCCCGCAGCTCCTTTGTTCACAGTGTATCAACAGCACTCATTACAGACATGGTCCCTCATGGAAGGATATATAACCCATTGCTATGTCCACATTGGTATTCCATTTATGAGCTGTGGCACATTGTCTTCTGCCACAGGGACCTTTGTGCATGATGTGCCTTCTGCTAAAGCTCTTATTATTACCCCACTTTGAGCTGTCACTTTCTCAGAGAAGTCTTCCTGGGTTCTCAAGCAGGAAAATGTGCTCTGTTTGTAATCACAGCATTATGAACTTTCTCATGTGAGAGGTAGTTATCTACATTTCTATTTAGAAAAACAACAAACTAGCAAATGCATTGTCCTTGAGTCAGAACCAACTCATAGCTAACCCTCCAGCAGGTTTCTGAAGACTGTAAATTGCACAGGAGGAGAGAGAGCCCCCATCTTTCTGTTAAGGAGGATTTGAACCATCAGAGAAGCATATCTTTAGGTGAGCAGCACAACCGTCTACACAAACGTCCCTACATTTTTATTAGTATCTCTTTTTCTCTCATTAGATTTTAAACTCCTTGAGAATATAATCAAAGTGTGTTTTTATTCAGAGTGTATTTGGGTACTCATTACATGGCAATCGAAGTTTGTATTTATTCATGGTGTATTGTGGGTACTCATTGCATGGCCCTTCCTGAAGGAACATAGAAGTTGGTTAGCTGATTTCCTGCTTTATGCATGTCATAGTACTACCACACAGACCAAATACTTCATAGAGCACTGTTAAATGTCATAAGACTTTTTCATGATTTAGTATGGTGCTGCACACCCAAAGCCATTAACTAGAAATCCATGCAATGAAATGTCCTTTACTTATTAAAAAAAATAAATAAAAATACCATCTCTAATTGACACTAAGTGTAAAAGTTCAACAGTATGGCACTTACACACTTGGGTTTAATGCTTCCGTCAAAAACCGAGCGACCAAGGAGTAGTAATCAAGTCCAGCATACAGCTGGTTGAAAAATCTTGGGTGATCTGAAAATTTGAAACAGAGAGTTTATGCACACAGTAATGAAGGAAGGAAAGAAAAGTGCAATCAACTATTCCCTCATCCAAATCACGAATGAATCTTTTGCTAGTGAAAGGAGTCAGACACAAAGTGGGTCCAAACTACACAAATCCATTAATATACTACCTAAACCCAGACAAAGCTCGAGGGAGCAGTTAGGATTGTGGGTAACTTTGGGAAAGAGCTGTTTCCTGGGAAAAGATTTGAGGGAGCCTGTGGAATTTTTGAAATGTTCCCTATTTCATTCTGTGTGGGGATAACATGTAGAGATACATAAAGGCCATCAAGATGTGACCATTTTATTTAATGTAAGTTATACTTAAAAAAAAAAATACACCCAGCAAACCAAATACATCCATAATTTAGTCACGTGCATGGAGGACGATACTGAAAATAAGTTTACAAGTAAAATTTGAGGATACTCTGAAGCCTGTTGGTTCACTGGCTCTGTTTTTCTATAATCTAGATCCAAATCTCTTGAAAAATGGGTTATTTGAAGAGTGTCCACAACTAAGTCTGCTACTTTGAGCTCCTGAAAATATCAATATTAATCTTCACACTTCAAACACATTTCGCTCATCAATAGGGTTCACTCCGGGCTACCGCTTGGATGTGACTTTTTGGTTTCAGGTTGGATGATGGTGCGTGGCATTATGTAGATGAAACTGTGATTCATCACACAGCTTATATCAGCTTACTGAGTCAACTTATCTCAAAGGCAGATGCCTTGAAGACTCACACAACTTGGAGCTCCAGCCTCCTCTTGCCTCGTCTCCTGTGAAAGGTCTCACAAAGGTTCTTGGCTTTACACAGTGTGAATATTCACACCAAGCACCAGGCTTGACATTCTCAATCCTAAGAAGCACAGCGTGACAGATAACAAAGAGGCAGGAGGTCTGTTTCTAAATTTCAGGGCCTGGGGACCATTTTAGTTAGTGATTTATCATCAAAACTTATAGCATTTGGTTTGGTTTTTTCTTTGACCCTCTCTCTTTAAACCAAAAAATTGATTTTTTTTCTTTTTTTTTAAAAAAAAAGTCTCCAAAGAAAATGACTCTTCAAATAAAATAGAAAACTTCCTCTGATCTGGCAAAGAAAACTAGACATTGCTTCAAGTAATTTTAATAAGATTTTTTTTTGGTTCCATGTTAATTTATGATTGATTTCCATGGTAACATTATGGAAAATATCCAGTAAACTAAAAATCTCCTGCAGTAAATGTCATTCTACACTTCTGACATACACTATTATAATAAGATATGCATCTCCACTTTTGAAATGCTGAGTTTTTTGATACATACACTTGACTTTCCCAAGGGGATATAACCCAATTATTTTTAGCCATGATTTTATTATGTTCGTTCCATTAAGTTTAGTTCAGTGTCAAGATTCAAAGTAACTGTAAGGCCTATATAGTTTAAACTCTAGATCACCTTTACATCACACCAAGAAATGTGTATTTAAAATGTTATTCTCTCACTTTAGTAACCAGTTCCCTGGGTGTGTAGCATATGAGCAGTCAAGCTGGAACGGTTCTCAGCTGCAGTGAGCGCAAAGCATTGCATCACATTATTGAATTTACGCAACATTGCAGTAGGTTAGGGCCTCATTGTGAAGCCATCAGCAACAACAGCATTCATTTGTTCTCATACTTTCCCAAAGAATTTTCATTTTTTTCTACTCCCAGGTTAGGTAAATTAATTTTGTAACTCTCAATTGCCCAGAGTCCTTTTGCCAATTGTATGACTGTTATGCTCCGCTGAGCTGACTGGGGTCTGATGCTTAGCAATCCTACATGCAACAGAGCAAACCCTGCCTGATGCTGTGTCGTCTTCACAATCTCTACTCCATTTAAGCACACTGCTGCCAGAAAATAGTACCAAATCCTGGGTATATTATGGGAGATATATATTTATATATTGTTGTTGATTGCCATCGAGTCAAGGCTGACTCATAGTGACTCTATGAACAAAAGACCTAATGCCTTTCCATAGCTATTGAGAGATTAGATAGATAGATAGATAGATAGATATAGATAGATTTATTTCTATGATGAAGTTTCATTTCTAAATTAGCCACAGTAAGAGGTTAAAAGTAGCAACTAATCAGATAGGAGAATGATCAGATAAAATAAGGGTTACCTGAACACAAGCACTGTGATATCTCAGTGTTGTTATATACTCTAACACAGACTCTGAACCAACCCATAGCTGACCCTCCAGTGGGCTTTCGGGGGCAGTATATTGCACAGGAGATGATTTCCCATCTCTCTCAACTAAAGCAGGTAGAGGATTCAAACCGCATGCCTTTGTGCTGACAGCTCGTTTCCTTACCGTTAAGCCACCAGGGCTCCAACAAAATAACTCAACAGTGGATCTGATATTGAATTGGCTACAAGTGACTAACGGGAAGGCAGGTGTGTGTGATGTGGATGACTGTCAAAGACATGATTCATGCTCTGGGTGGGGGGGGGGGGGGACAGCATGAGATTTCATGGCCCTGCTCAGAGCTGTGGGCAATTTAAAAGTTAGGGATTGTTTCTTTCTGGAATTTTCCACTTAATATTTTTGGAATGAAGTTGACAGCAGGTAACTAAAACTGTGTGAAGCAAAACTGTGGGTTATGGGAGATTATTAAATCTTGAAAATAAATTCCTTTTCATTTCTTTTAAACACATCTATCTTGAAGGGTCTATACATATATTCTGGACCACCGAGATTTTAAATTTTTTTTTTAATTTTATTATTATTTTGTGTGTGTGTGTGTGTGTGTGTACACTACCATCAAATCAGATCTGACTTGTACAGGAGGTGATTGTTCCTCCTTCTCCGGCAGAGCATCTGGTGGATTTGAATCACACACCTCTGGGATTGCAGTGCAGCTTCTTGCCACTAGGCCACCAGAGCTCGCCGATTTTAAATCTTAACAAATGCAGCAAATCAAAATATCATTTGCCGGTTGGAACATCAAAAGCCATAATAACTATTTCAATAAGCAGTAGTAATAAGGTATGATCTTGATTATAACTGAAGGATGACTATTGTCAAGAAACAGATGATGAATATGTACAACTACTAAAACTTAACTACTTTTCTATTAATTTACCTTAGACTTTGTCAACAAACCTGTGTATAATACAAGATTCAACGAACCACAGTAAGAATATCAGAATCACTAATTTTGATTCCGATTTCTCGTCGTGGAAACACAGGCATCGTCAGCTTTCTGGGGAAGACCTTGTCAGAAGCAGGCAGGAAAGGAAAGTCCTTACTCGTTTTCACACTGTAGCGTATGACATCCTGGCAAAGCTCGAGCAGCCTGTGGTGTGGCTCTCCTGTGTCTCTCATCTCCAAATCAAGAAGTTGTTTCAGCTGTTCGGGAGGCTGCCATTCACAGACCTGGGGATGCAGACACAACTTGCTGAGAATCCACTAAAATTGGGAACGGGGAAACATTAGAACCAAGGATACCAGGCTCTCAAATGAGCGGGAGAGACAGAGGAGAAAATGGACAATCGTAGGTCAATGTGGGTAGAGCCACGATGGGAATGAGTGATGAGCTCTGACACTGGAAGGACCAATGAAACTTCCCTGGTGGCACTAACATCCAGCTTGTAACAAGCAATGGGAATAGCGTGGCTCACCACAGATTAGGGCAACGGGATAACGTAATGGGCGCAGAATTACTAGATGTCACAAAGGCTGCCTTTCAGGGAGCCCATGGAAGCATGAAGTGAGTTGGCCTAGAACAACAGAGCTGGAGGGAAGGAATGCACAAAGTAGAGCTGGATGTTAAATAGCTTCATCAATTACAGCTTATCCCATTGTTCCTTTGCAGTCCACTATCAGTCCAATCGCCAAAGCTCTCCTTGGAAAACTAAGCCTCGATCGATCGCATCTCTTTGCAAATACTGCCGATAGCTTTTCATTTCCTTCCAAGCAAAATGCAAAGTCTTTACAATAACCTAATAGGACATTGTGTGATCAGTGTTCACTCGCTGGTCTTTTCCAGCACGGCTCTCCACCTGGCTCACTCGGCTGTCACCACTCTCACTCCCCTGCTGTCCCCTGAACACAGCAAGCATGCTTGCACCTTGGAATTTTGAACGGGCTGCGCTCTTGGACCAAAAGGCCTTATCCTAAAATCTTCTTAGCTGACTTTCTCATTTATCGCACAGCTTTACTCCAGTTGTCACTTCCTCACTAACAATCCTGACCCTCATACTTAAGACCACACCCTCATCCTTACTTCCTTACTTCTGTTTTGAACAAGAGATTTTATTGATTTGTGGAAACTCTTTGTAAAACAGAAAACACAAAAAGATGAGAAACAGTGGTGGTCTGGATGAAAGTAGAGGCTGTTGGAATAGGTGCTTTGTTTCTGATAATATTTAAAATGTGTAATCAAAAGAATTTGGAAATTCATCAGCCGTTGAGAGTGTTGAGGGAGACAGATGAGTTAGGACAATCCACATTGTGCAGCCTGGACACATAGGTGGCTGGTGGTGACACGGTTAACAGGAGAAGAGGAGGGGTTAACAGAGGGAGTAGGGAAGGAGATGAACTTGGGACATAGACACCTGAAGAGCATCCAAATGAAGAACAGAATCCGGTTTGAAGTTGTGAAAGGACAGAACTCTAGGCTTCTGCTGTGATATTATCATGGTGACAGGCAGAGAGAGCTACGTGGATGAGAGCAGGTAACTCACTGTGGCAATGTCCCCACTGGAGTCCTGGATAAAGGAAAGGAAGGGCACATGGGCTGCAGGATTGGAGGGCCAGAGGAACTAGGGAGAATCCTAGGAGTATTAACAGAGCGGGGGAAGAATGTTTCAAGAGGGAGAAGGTGATCTCAGCTGTCAAATGCGGCTACAAAGACGAAATCGAGAAAGACTGAGACCTGCTCGTGAGATTTCTCAGCAAGGAGGTGTTCTTGGCAAGAGCGCTTTGACTTACAGGGGTGGGAGTGGAGACCAGATTGCTGCGAAGTTAGGGAGTGGGAGGTGAGGAAATGGAGGAAGCCAGTATTGACAATTCTTAAAAAAAAAAAAAAGTTGGAGGGGAGGAGAAAGACAGGGGGTCGCCAGGGTTTGAGCATCCTGGAAAGTGAGAGGTTGAGGGAAGCAGGAAGAAATGCCAAGTTGTACAAAAGCTATAAAATTAAACCCTGATGTTACAATTGTGACAAATCTAATTAACAACCAACAGGTTGGATGGAGTCGATGCAGCCCTTCCACAAGGGAATTGACTAGGATTGTGCTCCAGGGCCTGTGGGCTTCGGGAAGCAGATAGTCAACCATTCTGACTTGAGTTATCTCTGTGTGGATTCGAACAACCAACCTTTTAGTGAAGAGCCAAGAATGTATTAATGTATAACCCTCCAGTGAGTTTTCAGAGGCAACAAAGAGCACGGGAGTTAATTGTGCATCTTTTTCCTGCAGAGTAGCTGGGATTTGAACTGCATGCCTCTGGGTTGACAACACAATTTCCTTACCACTGGGCCACGACAGGCAAAGCAAAATCAGAAGTACCCGAGACAGTCAAAAGGAATGATTATTCATATACGCAACAACTCAGATGAATCTCAAATGTATGTTGCTAAAGTGAAAATCAAGAACCACATTGCTATATGGGATATAACTCCATCTATACACGGTATTCTAGAAAAGTAAAGAAACAGTGGTTAATGGAATTGTTCTGGATTTTTATTACGGTGATGGACATAACTATACGCAGTTGCCAAAATTCATAAAACTTTGGTGAATATCAAAGAGGATGAAATTTACTAAATGGAAACTCCACCTTAATGAAAATAAAACAGCGACTGAAGAACCATGTGGCAGCAGGCCTCTGGACTCAACGGTTCCACTGATTGTGGAGACACATTTGCAGGCCACTTGTTCATAGTACCCTGCTGGGTTTCAGACACATTATGTAAGTTAGCAGTGACAAAAACCTTCACTCGCCTCTCTTAACACAACACAGTTTTCAACTCAATTTCATGTGAGTAACTGGCCCAGCTCCTAAAATGTGACCAAACTGTGGTTCACTAATTGCTCACACAGAGCTTTAAATCTCCCTTCTGCTCATATATTCCAGAATTTCTCTGTATAAGCCCTTCTTTATAAGCAAAAAGTTCCTCTTAACAAATATCTTTTAAAGATTTTATTTATATATTTAAAGTTTATATATTATAAAATTCCCATAATAAATATATTTTGTCCTTTGGCCAGTCTTTCCATTATTTGCCTTCTTGCTCCTTCAACATCTCTAGAAACAAACGTTTCCCCGCTTTGACTCTTTGCCCATGAAAATCTTTCTTAACCTTCACATTCCACACCCAAAACCAAATTAAATCTAAATGAAATGCCTACTTCTATGAAATTTCCAGAATCAGTCCCACTTACGACATTCTCAATGGGGTCTCCTAGCTCTGTTTCCCAATGAAATATTTTTCTAAGTAAACTATACATCCTGTACAAATTGGAGTTTTTATCATATTTATTTTCTTATCTTCCAGAGACTAGCACAATGCATTACTCATCGATAGCACTCAATTAATATTTAATGACCGAGTAGAGGCCAATTTAAAAAAGAAACCCACAACCAAATGAAAACCTTCAACAGAACCTTTGAGCAGTGTGCTTCAAGGTAAGCAGTGTCTAAGATATTACACAAGCACAGATAAAACAAGGAAATACACATGCATACACACATAAGCTGGCTAGAGAAGATAAACCATCAGCGAATTTTGCCTTGGTCATAACGAGAAACTTCAAGTAAACAGATCAGTTCAATCTATATTCCTTTTAGTTCTCCCAAATGCAAGCAATCAAAACTCCAAAGTCAATACCACATCACATTCAAAATATATTTTAAGTGGGATTTCTTTTATGACTACTTTAATTGGAATAGGAATTTCTTCTAAAGTCCCCTTTGCCAGGAATCCAGTTCCAATATGAAAAGACCTCCCTGTGGTGAAGGGTAAATTATTGATTTTAAGAGGCAATAATGTGGTAGAGACTCTGAAGTCAGGCTGCGTGGGCTCTCAGCTCAGCTCTCACACTCAGCAAATGATTGTGAGTTGCACACTTCATCTCCGAGTATCTCAGTTTCTTCACACTTAACAGAAGGGCACTAAGAACATCAGCCTCTCAGGGCTTTGTGCGGCTTACACTCAGCTGTTGTTATGAGTCATTGAGTTGGAACTGACTCATAGCCCACAACTCAGTGGGTTTTCAAAGACAGTAAATTGCAAAGGAGGAGACTGCCCATCTTTCTCCCATAAATATACAAATAAATGTACAGAAGTCATTAGAACAGTGTCTGTCACATAGTATGTAATCTTAAGAATATATGTTAATTGTTCTTGTTGTGCACGGTAGAGTTGGAATCAACCCATAGCTGACCCTCAGGTGGGTTTTCAGAGGCTGTTAATTGTACATGAGGAGATTGCCCATCCTTCTCCTGCGGAGCAGCTGGTGGCCTCGAACCTCCTGTCTTAGGGATTGCAGTGCAGCTTCTTGCCACTAGGTCACCAGAAATTTACAGCTTGCCTCTGGAAACCCTATGAACTTGGAGAAACAAAGAAAGTTCATAGGGTGGCTATGAGTCATCTACGACATTGTCATTGAGTCAGAAACATCCTGGAGGTAACTCTCCATTGGGTTTCTGAGGTTGCAAACCAGAGGGAAGAGATTGCCCGTCTTTCTTCTGGGAGCCTTTGGTGAATTTGAACATCTGGAAAGGCCTGTGTGGCCTTTGGATTGGCAGCAGGATCACCCATTAATTTCAGTTACTAAGAGAAGTTCTAACATCAATTTGATGACGCATTTGAATCTGAATTTGAATCTACGGGCCACTCATTGGTCCTGGTCCAGTACTCAGGAATAATGAGTGGATGAATCAGAGCAATGAGCTATTTCTAAGCCAGCTTGTGACTAGAATGAGGCTGAGAGACTCTGGGGGCTGGAGGGCAGGGCTGGAAGCAAGAATGGCTGAAGAGCCATCCCTCTGTTCCTTGTTCTCAACTGACTCATGTGTGAGTCCCAGCCAAGCTCTCAGTAAATGATGGCTGGCAGAATAAGGACTCAGTTCTTCTGTGAAAACAGATATTAGGTTGGGGGCAAGGATAGGGTGTGTGCAAAGGACAAACTGAGATCTGGACAGCCCTTTGGCATGAAGGAGACAGAAATGAAAGCTTCTGGTCCTGCTTCTTTGACACCTGGCCACCCAGGTTGGGAAAAGGACTTCTTAATAGGCTTTTAACTTTACCTTTTGATTGACATCTGTAGCCTTAAAAATCACTTCTTCCATTATTAGCTTACAGGCTTCTTCCACAAACTTTTCTCCTGCTTTTGCATCTGTTGTGGGTCCATTCAGTACGATCCCATCCACCAGAACAGCGCTTTTTTTATTTGCGACCAGCTCATGTTGATTTACCTCTCCTGGAAGCACAGAAACACACTGTGTTTGAAAGATAATCTAATTTGTTAATAATGACAAAAGAGAGAGGGGGGGGAAAATCATCATTATTATTCTAGTTTTCATACCTTCTATTGTCATACTAATTTTAATATTCATATTATTTGGGGTATTGAAGCTGACAATTCAATTTCAAATAATGCCCAATGTCATAAAATAAAGGCAAAGTTCAGAAGTTTACATTTTCACAATTTATGGGCTGGATAAATCTGCTTTATTATGTTGGACCCCTTTATTCAATTAAATCACATGTGACGTGAATAACCATTTACTTAGTATATTTTTAGGGTTAAAAAGAAAGAGACCATCTAACATGTCATTTTCTTGCTGGATGATGTGTGAAGCGGAAAGAATAACACTAATACTCTGATAGTGAGAAAAATGACATGCAAAGAAAGCACTCTGAAAGCAAGATGAAACGTCCACTGGTGGTCCTGCCAGTACAGATGATCGTCATGAGATCATTTCCTTAGAAACATTAATAGACATCACATTACAGTACATCCCGTTACAGACACCACATTATGATACATAGAATGTTAAACTGAAGGATTTGAGGGGAAAGTTCTATCAGTCTTATCTGTTTCATGGGACAATCTGCTGTCAAGGACATCTCCAAAGTCCAAAAGAGTAATGATGTCAGTTTAAAGATAAAGGTATACCTGATCCAGGCCCTGGCATTTTCAATTGTTTTCTGTGCATCTTAAAGGTGGACCATGAATAAAGATAAAAAAGGAATCGGTGCTTTTGAATTGTGGTGTTGGAGAAGAGTACTGGATATCCTATGGACTGCCAAAAGAACAAATAAGTCTGTCTTGCAAGGAGTGCAACCACCATGTTCCTTAGAAGTAAGGATGGTGAAATTTCATCTTATGTATTTTGGGCATATTTTCAGAAGAGGCAAGTTCTTAGAAAAGGACATCATACTGGAAAAGGAGGAGGGCCGGAGGAAGAGAGGAAGACTCAACAAAATGGATTGACAGTGACTCCAATAATAGGCTCAAGCATATTGGGATTGGGAGGGTAGTACGTACTGGAGAGGGCAAGGTTCAGATCTGTTGTTCGTAGGGTCACTATGAGTCGTAACCAACACAACACTGCCTAAGGACAACAACTATGTTAGAAGTATGCCTCAAAAGAGAAATTATGGGATGCTGGTCTTACTTCTCCGAATTTGGCAAATTAAATACACAATTTATATAGCTGAGTCAACAAGCCTCTGTCTCTATTGCCCTGTGTAAATTCAAAGCAGTTCTGAGTTCTGGGATGAAACAAAGGTCCAGCAGAACACACCAACTGGCTATATATATTGTCTGAGACAATTAGTTTTGTTGAAATATGAAAGTGGAGGAAAATTACCACAAAATAGTGATATTTTAACATTTTTTTTTACAGATTGGAAATCCATATTGAACTTAATAAAGACATATGCTGGATTTGATGCATCTGAATTATGGAATAGACTGAGGGAGACTTGAGTCATTGTGGAGAAGTCCATGCTAAAATCAATAAGAGTGCATCTGAATTCCAAAATCAATCTCCATAATAGTCTATGTGTTTCCTACTGCCAAAGGGGCCCTTTAGAGTAGTGAGAGAAGATCTT